TGACGCCGTCCGTGGACCCGGTGCACAGGACGTTGTCGGTGACGGGGACCATGCAGTCGATGGACTCGGCCTTTATGGCGAAGCGGTCGCTAGTGGCCCCAAAGCCGGCCCAGTTGAAGAGATAAATGGTCCCCTCGCTAGAGCCACAGGCCACTTTCTTCCCCCGCTGCGCCAGCAGGAAGAGAAAGAGGCGGAGCTGAAAAAAGCAGCAGCGTGGGACAGGCCCCACCCCCCGACGGGCTCTCCAGCAGGGGGCGCACCCATCAGCAGGGAGAGCCAGAACCGGCCGGGCTCCCGCGTTTATCTCAGCAGGGGCCTGGGACCCTCTGGCTGCTGGGAACAGCCGAGCACCGAGGCTGGGAAGCCTGGGTCGGTGTTGCTACCCCTGAGGGCGCCCGCAAGCTCCTACCTTCATGAGCGCGATGGACGTCAGGTCCCCGCTCTGGGGCTCCGAGACCAGCTCAAAGCGCCGCCTCCTGATGTTGAAGACGCCCATGGTGCCATCGCCGCTGCGGGATCAAAGCGGGACATCCCACTCAGACGGGGGACTCCTCACTGCCCCCCGGCCCGGCCAGCGTCACCTTCACCCAGCCCCCCGCAAGCTCCTACCTTCATGAGCGCGATGGACGTCAGGTCCCCGCTCTGGGGCTCCGAGACCAGCTCAAAGCGCCGCCTCCTGATGTTGAAGACGCCCATGGTGCCATCGCCGCTGCGGGATCAAAGCGGGACATCCCACTCAGACGGGGGACTCCTCACTGCCCCCCGGCCCGGCCAGCGTCACCTTCACCCAGCCCCCTGGCCAGAGTCACCTTCACGCTCCCCGACCCCCGGTTCGGCCAGCGTCACCCCCCAGCATGGCCGCGCACCCGGCCGCATGGTGAGCGATCTCCCTGGCAGGGCCCCCGGGATGAGAAGCGCGACAGACTCAAGCGATGCCCAAGGGGCGGGGCCTGCTGATGCCCTTCAGGGGTGGGGAGAGGGTACCTGCAGCCCAGTGGGGGGTACCCCCCCCCCCATCTTCGCTGCCCCACGGGCCTGCAGGCCTGCCCGGCGCCACCGCGGAGCCAAGCCCACCTGGCAGTGAGCAGGAGTCTCTTGTGCTGGTCCACGGCCATGGCGCCGATGTACTCCTCGTGCTGGCGCAGGTCCATGACGGCGGCACCCCGGCGCAGGTCCCACAGCCTCAGCGTGCCGCCCTCGTCCCCCGTGGCGAGCAGCTGCTCGTCCAGCACCAGCAGGCTGTTCAGGGCCACGCTGCGGAGACCCCGCCCCGGTCACCCGCCTGGCACAGAGACCTGGTTGCCCGAGGGGCCTCGCGGACGCTCCCGCTGTGCCCCGGGGAGAGGGCAGCTCTCACCACGGTACCCAGCCCGGGCCGC